TCTCTCTCTCTCTCTCTCTCTCTCTCTCTCTCTCTCTCTCTCTGTGTGTGTGTGTGTGTGTGTGTGTGTGTGTGTGTGTGTGTGTGTGTGTGCAGGGCTCAGAATTACCTTGAGTTGCAACTAAAAATTGAGTTGCTCATCAACTTCTTAAGAGACTTTGAAGTTTGGGCTTTTGAATAATGTTAGAGCTGCTAAGATTTTGGAAACTCATAAATAAACTGAATGCACATTACATTATGAGATGTTCAAGAGCCACTGAGGGCTATGGTGGAATGATTTTTGATGCTCGGAAGAAGCTGAGTAGAGCACTTATTTAGCATGAACAGCATCCTATGTTTAATCCCCAGCACTACACACACAAAAAAATTGTTACGTTTGAGTATTAAGTTGATGAGGGATAGACTTGTGATGAGTAATTTGTTAAGCTGATGGAATTTAGAGTCACCTAGGAGACAAACTTCTGGGCCTGCTTGTTAAGGTTTTTCCAAAGTTTTAACTGAGGTGGAAAGGCCCAAACCTACTGTGGTGATACCACCCCATGGACCATGACGTTAGACTGGATTACAGAAAGAAACGCTATTGCAGCATCGTTCTCTCTTGTTTCCTGATTGGAGATGTGACAGGACCTCTGTGTTCCTGCTGCCATGCCTCCCCCACCATGATGAACTAAACCAGTGGTTCTCAACCACCCTAATGCCGTGAACCTTTTTTTAATACAGTTCCTAGTGTTGTGGTGACTGCCAACCGTGAAATCATTTTTCATTGCTACCTCATAACTAATTTTGCTACTGTTATGAACTGTAATGTAAATATCTGTACTTTCCTATGGTCTTAGGCGACCCTGTGAAAAGGTCATTTGACCCCCAAAGGAGTCTTGAACCACAATTTGAGAAGAGCTGAACTAAACCCTAAAGCTATAAGACAAATCTACTTGGTACTAAATATAGTTCTGGTAGGTTATGTTATAATTAATCTTCTCAAAATTCAAATTTAGGTGCATCTATTACTGCTGTGATACCAAAGTCCTTTAAATATCTAGAATGAACAAGAATGATGTATTAATGGAAACTTCTTTGTAGATTTAAAGTAGGGGCTGATTACAAGATAATTCAAGGCTTTGGAGAATTGAGAATGAGGAACTCTCAGCATCTGTGGGAGGGAAACTGAAATTTTAGTTGTTCACCAATGAGTAGAGTTGCAATTAATCATGCCCGAGCAATGAAGCATTTATAATACAAATAAACAAAGAAACAGGATTACAGAGTTTCTGAAGCAGTGAACAGTGGATAGACTTGGGAGTGTAAGCTTTCCTGGCAAAAGGAAGGCACAGAAGCCCCATGACCCTGCCCATATGCCTTTCTTCAGGCTTTTCCAACTGGTTATTTATCTGTATCATCTGTAATATTTTTCATTTTTTGTTTTTCGAGACAGGGTTTCTCTGTGTAGCTTTGCGCCTTTTCCTGGAACTCACTTGGTAGCCCAGGCTGGCCTCCAACGCACAGAGATCCGCCTGCCTCTGCCTCCTGAGTGCTGGGATTAAAGGCGTGTGCCACCACCGCCCGGCTATCATCTGTAATATTTTTAAATAAATATAATGAAGTGGTTTTTTTTTTTTAGTTCTGTGAGATGCTCTTGAAAGTAAGTGTGACACAATGAGGGAGGGGTTCATAGGACTCTGGATTTAAAACACATGGATTAGAGGCATAGGTTACAATCCATCCTTACAACCATCATTCCAATTATGGAGCAGTCAACTAGGGCTCAGCCCTCAGTCTGTAAACTCTAACCTAAATGCTGTGTAAATAGTTTAGGAACTGAATGTGTTAAAGACTCCCAACTAGTACCTGCTGGAAATCCACCACACGATTGCTTCTGTGGAAGAAAAATGTCTGTAATTTTTTAGTGAGCACCAGTGTACTGCTCTATTGAATATTCTGTAATTTGTTGAAATCTTGCCTATTTGTTTGTCTTCCATTATGTGTGATATAGGAACCATACTCCTCAAGGATGGCTGAAGGATTAAACATCTAATTCAGGGCCTAAAGCATGCTTCTCATGTGCTAGGTCTCCTGTGTTTTTCTGATTGAGTTGCCTGGGGACAGAGGTTGCCAGGCCCATTCTTAAAGAGTATCTAACAGTGGTTCTACTCTCTACTCAGGCACTGAGGTACTGACAGGGCCAAAAGATACACTTTTGGAGAGGGAATCAGTATGTCACCAGCAATTAGAAGGAAGCCCTAAGATGAAACATTTTTGACAAATATTATGCTGAGGTCAAGTTGGCACTGTGTATCAAAATTAAAATCAATACACTCTTTGACTTCAAAGTTCAACATCTGAAAACCTCTCTCACAGACACACTAATTCTTGAGAAATGTCTTATTTTCAGGCTATACTACAACATTATTTATAAACCCTAAAGTTTTGAATCAAACAGATTCCTATTATCAGGAGCCTTAAGTTGTATTATATGATATAACCACCAGGAGATGGATCATGTGGCTGGCATTGTTCAGTAGTTAAAGCACATGTTTATAATATGCACGGTCCTTGTTCCATCTTCAGCAATACCCTCCATGTACACAAAAAGAGATGAATTGTCTGTTATTTCTAGACTAGCCCCAAAACTCTAACAGCTATGACACCTTTCATTAAGGTACTTTAACTTTTGGAGTTTTAGTGTCCTCAATTGTAAAATATGTATTTGACCTTGTACTACTGTGGGGGTGGGGGGGTTGTAACAGTGTCTGGTTTGAAGTAAACATTTTGTGGACTTTAATAAACATCATTATTTATATAGAATATTCATATAAACTAATGTCTAGGACAGAACCATATAACAGCAGACCAGCATGTACAGTGGTCTATCATCTAGCAACAGATAGCTCTTCTAGGCTAGAAAAAAAATGGACTAGAAACCAGAAATATTGGTATCATAAGGGGAAAAGAAAACAGATTCTGTGAAGACATTACTTCAAAGATTAATTAGTTTTCAGATCTTTCAAAACCATGATAAGTGGAACATGATGTAAGTTCTTTGATCATACAGCTTCTGACTTGAAATCATAAATGGAGTTGCAAATTGTCATTCATTCTTATTTCCTCACAAAATATGACCAAAGAAGCTCAATATTTAATTTGCATGTCTAATACAGAGGTTGCTAGACTTCAGATTATGTTGTGTGACTGTGGCAAGAATAAATGCACCATAAAATTCAGTAATTGGCTACTAAACAAATTTTAAGGTTTATTTTAGTATGAGTTTATATGTATGTGTGTTTCTGAGTGTGTATGTGCACATGTGCAGATACCCATGGAGGTCAGAAGAGGATGCCCTGGAGTTAGAATTCTAGGCAGCTGTACAAATTGGGTACATGTCTGCTGAAAGAGCAAAAGTGATTCTCAACTGTTGAGCCATCTCTTCAGCCACTGCACAACTTAATTCATAGTCACCTCTAAAATGTGCAGGTTTCTGCAGAGAATCCAGGGTCACCTGGGTTCTGCTTCCAGGTTGTATTGCTTTCCTCTAGATAAGACTCTTAATCCGCTCAACTGAAATAATTCCCATGGAGAAATATTGAAAAGATCTAGCCATCCTGCATTCTAGGAAGTGTTTATCATGGATCATTTTTTCAGTATCTACAAGGTCTGCCTTACCCTAGACTCTATCCACTTCCTTCTACATAAGGTGTAAACGGGTCTTTATCCTTTGCTTTATTTCTGCGTCAGTTTCACACTTTAGGAATGGGTAATGAGGCATTGGCTGATTCCTTTCACCTGCCTAACATTCCAGTCTCAGTTGTTGCTCTTTTATTCCACTTCACCTGTTGGGACTGGTGTGACCAGCGACTTTCAGACGTTGTACCAGATCTCCTGTGAACAATGATCTTCCCTACACCAATCTCCCTCCAATCCACATCTCATTGATGTAGCTTTGCATAACCATGTTCTACTGATATACAGAGATTTCCATGCTGAACCCACCCAGGGTCCCTTTTCATGCTGACAGTTATCAGCCTGGGCTTTTTCTGAACTTTTGCCACTAGCTGTAGGATAGTGTTTCTATGTATCCAGGTAGCTTTTTGTGACTTCTCTGCACTTTAACAGGATGAATTAGGCACCCTATGCCTATGGTCCATTCACCATGGGAGGTAGTCTAGCATCTTTCTGTCCCTGTTATGACAACTTTGAGAATCATGTGGTTTATTCAAGAAACAACTTTCTGTTTCCTCACAGAGTCACAAGCCATCTCCAATCAAAGGCGACCATGGCGCTTTACATGGCTCTCTTCATGACACAAGGCTAGAAGTGTCTCTGGTAGGCATAATTTCTAGTATATCTGTCTGGCTTTACATGAAAATTTCCTCATGATGCAAATTAAACTATCTCCTTCCTCACAGAAGAAATATATGGTAGTTATAAAATAAGAAAACTAAAAGAAATAAGGTACTGTTAGTTTAGAATGAAAAAGAAATATGATTACGATTATAGTTTTATTATCCTATCTCACCACCTCAGTACTTTCATATAACAAAAATACAAGTCATTAAATATGTTTATTTTCAAGTATTCACTTTTTGCTAAAAAAAAGTATATTACTGCCATTTAAAAACTTTATTATGTTGTCCTATTCCTCATTTCATAAATTTAGAAGAAAGAAAACTAGAGATGTTAGCTGATGCATATGAAAATTATCCAGGCCTCTTATTTTCAAAAAGTAATCATGCACTAGAAAAGGCTTTCTGAAATAAGTATGCCTAGCTGTGTCTTTTTACAAATAATTTATTCAGAAAAAATCATTTATCCATCATTCTGACAGCTTCATTATTGGCTGATTTATTTAGCTCTTATCTTCTCTTGTCTTTCTTCTTCCGAGGCCACAAAGGCAAAAGCAAGCAAAGTTTTAGCTGTGCCTCTCCACACATCCTTCTAACCTCCTCATGTCTGGGTAGAAGAAGCCTCATTTTGGCCCTACCTTTACAGTCCCATCTGTGCTGCCAGTCAAAAGCCTCGACTCATTTGCATCCAGGGCCATGGTGCTGATCTCTGCATTGCCATGGCAACCAGAAAACTGTTTGATTTTCTGCCCGGTTTCTATCATCCAGAAGGAAACAGTAGACCCCACATCAGAGCTGATTACCTAGGAGAAAATAACATAGTGGAGAAATTAAATATAGTTTCAGGATCAACCACTTTCATTTCAATAAAAATATCTTGCCTGTGCAATTTCACTGCTGAGATTCCCCCAGTGGTTAAAGACATTTTTTATAATGTTTTTCTTCTGTTTGTTAAGCTGATAACATTTCAATTTGTAGGCCAGAGCTGAAGTAATGAAGTCATGATCTTCTTTATCATAGAAGGCAGTAATCTGCTTCCTTTACCAACCATTCAGCTGACTGTCTAGAGACCATCTTGACTTAATACCTCACTGTCAATAAACATAAATCTTTCACGTTTATTTAAGAAAGACAAATCTCATAGTTCTGGTACTGTGACACTATTTACTAAACAAGGAACTTTTTATTTGTGATCTACTTCGATGTAGCAATTAAAAAAAAAAGGAAAAACTTCATGACACTGTGGGAAGTAGTTAGGTTCAACAAGTTACTGGAACTGTTACTTTTTTTGTGCCATCAGTCCTTTTCTTTCTCTTTGCTCAGAGTGGTGTGTGTGTGTGTGTGTGTGTGTGTGTGTGTGTGTGTGTTATAATTATTCATGTATCACTAAAAACAAAGAGTATATGTTAAATATAAATCCACATATACACTTCAAGAGGAAAGCAACAGAACAAGCACCAGGAGGAAAGCAACAGAACAAGCACTGGCAGGAAAAAGACTATGTGTGATAAGAATGAGAAAATATGGGTTCGATAGAGGCAAGTCAACCACTTCTTTCCACTCTAGGTATACAATGCCTGTAAGGCATTTTTTGTTCAAACCACTCTACCAGTGAGACTGTAGAGATCTAGTTAATGAAGGAAAAATGATAAACACATGAATATGTAGACAGTAATTTATGTAGGGTAATATCTTGATTTTGAGAAATCAAAGTATGTCCCTACTGTTTACACATTGTCATTCTATAAATGTAAACTTATTGAGAAAAGTTTATATTTCATATCATATGTGTTGAGGGAACCTAAAGTATGTTAGGAAAGCTAACACCGATAGTGATCATAAACACATGCATACATTCTACAGGCACTTGCTGAACATCCAGCCTGTGACAGGAGGACTTGAGTGACTAATTCCTACTTTCAAAAACTCTAGCTGAATGTATTAAAACTTCCAAGTAGCGTCAAGAGAGATGGCTCACAAGAGCTTGCCACACAAGCATGAGGACCTGAGTTCTAGTCTCAGCACAAAAAAGATAAAAAGAAAGAAGAAGAAAAAAAACTGGACATGGCAGCCTATTGAAATTATTATCCTAGTGATCACTTGCAAACCTGGAAAACATGATTGGGACCAGGATTTTACCAGTGATGTTTGGTGGTTAATTCTTGTTTCCTACCTTTTGTAACTAGTTTTGTCACTCAAGGTGAGAGTGACACAGTGTGGTCTACCTTTACTCGATTGGAGAACCCCATGGAATTTAAATTTTGCTTAAAAGAGAGGAGTGCCTCTGATTGAAAAGCATTAAGAAATTCAATGAAGGCCAAGAGCACAGGATGTGAAGGGACAAAGAAAGTAGATGTCTCAGTAAGGGTTTCCATTGCTGTGGAAAACACTATGACCAAAAGTAAGCTGGAGAAGATAGGGTTCACTTCACTTTTCAGCTTTACAAGTACATCACAGAGAGAGGCCAGGGCAGGAACCTGGAGGCAGGAGCAGAGGCTGGATTGCTGCTCACTGACTTTTTCCTCATGGCTTCCTCAGCCTGCTTTCTTATAGCACTCAGGACCATCGGCCTAAGGGTGGCACTGCCCATAATGGGCTGGGCTGCTCTCTTAGTTATGATCTCTTAGCAATATGCTATTGCTGTGAAGCGATGCCATGCCCAAAACAACTCATAAAAGATAAACACTTAAATGTGGGCTCAAAGACCACCCCTCCCCCAGTGGCAACATCCCCCAACAACGTAGCACATCCAATTATTCCCCAAACAACTCCACTAACTGGGGATGAGCATTCAAACACATGAGCCTATGGGGGCCATTCTTATTAAAACCACCACAGCCTCTCACATCAATTACTAATTAAGAAAATGCCACACGGGCTTACCCATAGCATGATCTTATGGAGGCATGTCAGTTTCCTCCTCTCAGATGACTCTAGCTTGTGGTGAGTTAACAGAAAACTAGGACACAGTCGTTGAAATAATGATCTCACAGCGGCTGTGATTGCCTGGACAGGATGTTGGGGCTATCAATAGTCAGTTGTGGATTGAGGAAGAGGTCACATGGGGCACAATCTCTCCTTGATAAACTCCTGGCAACCAACAAATTCTAAAAAAGAGGGAGTCATTGCCTTCAGTGTGTCCCCAGCTGTGTGATCCAGTGGAAAGTTCCAAACCTGTGGTAACACAGACATTTCTGCTTATGATTGAGTCACAAAACAAACCCAAAATGACATGAACGTAGTAAAGGACCACACAAGCAGAAGAACCTATAACAGGAGTGTAATATAGATAAAAGTGGGTGGGGGCAAGAGTAGTTGGAGTGTATTAATCATATACATGTATGAAATTATTGAAGAAGAAAGTTCATGAGTTTAAAAAAATGAGAGAAATGTCATTGTTTTTGAAAAGGAGAAGACTGCTACAAGGGCTGTTGTTGATAAGGACATCTCTAAGAGAAGAGCAGAAACAAAGCAGGGCTGCAAGAAGACCACACCGAGCCGACTAGAATCGTGACTGAAGAGCGTCTTAGCTAACCGAGTCATTCTAACACTGGAAGGAGAGGAGGGGTTGGAAGAGGTGACACACTGTGGGTAAAGTTGATATCTCAGAGAAACAGAACAGAATCTGGATTGGATCCCTGTTAAGCTTTGTTCTCGTCTCTTAAGTTACAATTCTGATTAGATGATTCCTTAAATGACATAAAAGATTATTATTAAGCTAGGGGGAAACTTCAAAGCTGAATGGCCTATGTCTTTGAAATACTGTGACCTAATACATTATCATCCCAAGCAGATGACTGTTTCCACTTGATTTTGTTTGAACACCCAGATTCTCCAGCAAATGTGCTAAAGTCTGACTGTTTCACCAGTTAATTGTCTGAAGTTGGGCATGAGGGTCAAGTATATTAATTAACCTCTGTAGGCATCACTTTACCCATCTGTTGTGCAGAGATAATTACGACAACTAGCCCAAACCTTGTTAAGAGGGCTTAAAGAAGCTACGATTTGTAAATCACTAACTACAGCATATGGTATTGCTGCAAATAAGCTGTAAAAGTTAGCCATGTCACTCTTCTGAGGTTCGTTTGTCTGGCCTATTATCATGGCCCATTCATCTTTCAAATTCAAATCAATTTAAGAAAATATAGTATATAACTTTCTGCTACCACAACAATGAGTGATTATAATTTTAGAAACTAGATTTCAATGTACACTGAAATTCAAATATGTCATGGCTGTTACTGTTATCTTACATAATTATTTTCTGTTATTATTTTCTGTTTTATTCTTTCAAGTGTTTTGATCATAGTCACTCTTTTACTCTCTTATTCTCTCTTAGCTCCTTTCCACACCTAACATACTCCTTCTTCAAGCAAGTCTCCCTCCTGCCATTTTTTGCACATCTTTGTGCGTGCGTGCATGCGTGCGTATGTAGGAGAGAGTTGTGCATGTATGTCTGTGTGTGCTATGCACAATATTTAATTAGAGTTGCCTGTATAAGCATGGAAGGGTGATTATTTTTAACTGAATAATGATGGCAACTTACCAGTTGCTATATCACCGAGTAACTAGTAACTAAAACTTCTGGGGCGGGGGTGGGGGGGTGGGGGGAGGGAGGGTTTCATAAACTTCTCTTCCACCCATGGTGAATTATTGACAGGCCAAGTCTTATGCAGGTCTTAGGCAGGTAAACCCAGCTGTTTTAAGTTCTGTCATGAAGTAGCCACATAATGTCTGGAAGACAATGTTACATAAATTCTATGAAATTTAGACTCCATACTTTTTAAATAAATGCAACTTTCTCAAAGCATAAAAGAAAAAAGTGTGAAAATGGTCTTTTAAAAAAAGACTAAAGCTTGTGAAGGATTTTTTTTCTATTCAAATTAAGCAGGTATTATATGCTCTGCTGTCCAGTACTAAAAGATGAATATTCCCCAGCAGAAATATGCATGGAAGTTGACATGTAAAAGCCATGTTAACAGACTCCTACTCCTTTACCCATGTAGACATTTGTTCTGGAATAAGCAATGCTCACCTTCTGCATGGTACCCTCCCTCCCCTGCCATCGGGTTGAGCTCCAGCATACTAGGCATCAGCTTTTATCACTATTCCTCTGCTCCTTTAGGGCTATTGTATGAAATCTGAATCAGCTGTGACAAAAGCAGAGAGCCAGTCTGATTCCATTATATGGCAATCTGCCTTCCTATGCTGAAGGCAAGAAAGCAGTGCATTGAAATCTGCCATGTCACAAGTACACAACCTGCTTTAACTGGAGTCTACACTTCTAGGGCAACATTGGAGAATTAGAAAAACAATGCACATGAAAAGATTTCATGTTTAATAAGAGAAGAATACACTTAATGTAGATTGGCAGATTAGGAAAGTAATTTAACTGCAGGACACTGGGGGCTTTATTTTTAGCTTCTTACTTTTGTCAGTAATAAAGCCCAGAATAAATACTGGCAACACACTGGTGTGCTTCATTTTGACTACAGCAAATTTCTTTAAGTATGCAGCTCAAGCCTGGTTGTCTTTTATCAGAGTAAGCCTCAACCAGTGTTGACTTGCCATCCATCTGCAGAACAGAAGTAGCCCCACATTCCAGAGCAAATGGGCCTCACATGCAGGCCTGCTCTGACAAGAACACAATCCATTTTATGTACCTGAGCTATTAAGTGTCTAGGAATATATGGGATCTTTCTGCCTCTCTCATCTAAGGCTGTCACAGCTAATCAGACAGTTTCAAGAAATCAGAAGCTATATCCATGTCACCTAATTGTCTTCTTGCAATTCCACAAATAGC